ACAGGTTTCTTCTAATTCAAAACTAGATCGTTATTTATATAATGTTGGATAACCTTCATTTGAAAATGGGGATGACATATCTAATCGTTCATGTCTGAAAATTTAACTTCAAACATGAAATACAGTAGTTCTTTAAAAACAAAACAATAAATTAAATAAAACCTAAAATATTCAAGAAAGTGAAGTTGTATAAGGACAAATATCACACATGGCCAAAATTTCTATTTAAACTCTGGTGCAGTAAGGCACCATTTTGGAGGCAAAAATATAGTTTCTAAGTAAGTCCAACACAAGTTATTTCTCTGTGGTTTCAGCAGTTGAACAAGAAAGGAATTAGGTGGCACTTAGAAGCCATACTGAATGAAAATGATAGCTTTGCACACTAGATTAACCTTAAGCTGATCTGACCAATGATAGGAACAACAGAACTTTATCTGCCGTCTCCCACCACTCTTCTGTCAGTTTGTCATACTGTAGTGGCTTGTGAGTTCCTATGATTCTGAAAGCTATATCATCGGTATTTTAAATACCACCAGGGTCACCCAGGGTGGACAGGTTTCAGATGAGCTTCCAGACGAAGACAGACTAGGAAGAAGGAGTGACGAACCACTTCCGACTATTCAGTCACTGAAAACCTTATGAATAGCAGAGAAACAGTGTTAGATATAGTGTCAAAAAATGAACCCCTCAGGTTGGAAGGCACTCAAATTGCAACTGGGGAAGAGCTGCCTCCTCAAAGTAGAGTTGACTGTGATGACAAAAATGGAGTAAAGACTGTGGGAAAAAAGCCCACAGGACCTTCATATGCTGATGGGGTACAACTTAAAATGATGAGCAACAGCTGTAAACATTCACTGAAAATCGGAACACAGAATGTACGAAGTATGAATCTAAGAAAATTGGAAGTTGTCAAAAAGGCATTAGTGAGCTGAAATGGACTGGTATTGGCCATTTTGAATCTGATGACCACATGGTTTACTAAGCCAGGAATGACAAATTAAAGAGGAATGGTGTTGCATTCATTGCCAAAAAGAACATATCCAGATCAGTCATGAGGTACAACGCTGCCTGTGATAGGATAATACCCATGCGCCTACAAGGAAGACCAGTTAATACCACTATTATTCAAATTTATGCACCTACCACTAAAGACAGTGAGGATGAAATAGAAGAATTCTACCAACTTCTTCAATCTGAAATTGATCAAACATGCAATCAAGATGTATTGATCATTAGTAGTGATTGGA